GTCCTTCTGGCCTATCTATAGTCCAGTTACACACTTTCCTTAAATTCCAACACAAAATGTTTAAATCTGAAGCATTTCCAACCAGAAGCTTCAGAAAAGAGGCTCCAAAATAGCAGAAGTATGAAAACTCTGCAAATACTGCCATAGTATAGGAGAAGAGAGTACAAAGAAAATTGGCCATGGTGTATTTTAAGCTCAAAATCCATCAGTAAGAGGATTATATTAAAGAAAAATATCACTATCTAACGAAGTGATTTTCTCTGTCTGACAAGCGGTCACACAATAGGCCCTCACCTGGTGACAGTAGTAAGGCACCTGCCTTGTTTTCCATCAGAATGACATTTCAAAGAAACTATTCATCCAACTCTAAATCCACAAAAACAAACTTAAACAATTAAAAAAAAAAAAAAAACCCACACCCCAAAACAACACAACCCAGCCAAATGCATCTTACTGCTGTGTCTTAAACTCCCACACAGAGATATATCTAAACAGTGTATTGAAATTAAATGAACAGGTGGAAAGCTCCTACCCCAAGCATTTCCACTTCTTACTTCTGGAAGCAATTCTGACACAAATCAAGGAAATAACAGCTTTGCTACATCTTTCCCATACAGGCACATAACACTTGATAGGCAAAGGTCCAGCCTAGGAGCCTGTCCCAATTACTCCAGAGAAGAACAAGTGCATGCACACAGTTGAGACACCAGCAGGAAAATCTCATAGGTTCCAAAAGCATCCAAGCAAGAGCATACAAACCAGAGCAATGGGATGGAAATGTGAAACAGGTGTGGAAGTTCCTTCCTCATGCTTTGTCTTTTGGTATTTTTTTTTCTTGCTGCAACTGTTTCACTAATCCCTTTACTCCCACACATTTCTCAGTGTGTAATTTTAATCATAAATACAAATCTCGACAGGCTTTACAGTGCAGAGCTAGGCTGAAAAGCTAATGAAAGGCAAAGGGATGCTGGCAGATGAAAGCAGCCTGTGATAAAGACAGAGGCATAGAGGTGCACTTGGGAGACCTGGCTGCTCCAGGATGTTCACTGCCTTTTTAAGAGCACAAAAGGTAGAACATTTCAAAGAACAGCCAGAAACTGTAGAAACAGTAAGTGAAAAGAGCCTGCTCTTACTCTATTCAGTGCATAAAGCAAAATGAGAGTAAAATAGGCAGATTCATAGTTGAGCTTAGCTGTATGGCAGATTTCAAATCTAATTGATATAAAACCTTACTGGAACTCACTCAAAACATATGAACAAGGATTCCAAATAAAGAACAGCAATATTTTTCCTTAAATGGATTCCTGACCAACACGTGAAACACTGAATTGGTATCTCATGCAATCTTGATGTTTCACCATCGCCACAAAGTGATTCATAGCAATTCCCTTATCTCAATTTCCTCTTTGTCTTCTGCGGTGTTACAGAAGATATTTTGTACTTCCTGCAACCTCATCCACCCTTCTGATAAGAATGGCAGGTGTCATGCTATCACGTGTCACACACAGGCCTCTCAGGACAAGGGAAATAAAACTGAATTAAAAAGACAGATTATGGAGAGGAGGAAGAAAAGGATCTAGAAGACAAAATGTTCCAACTTCTTAAGTCACAACAGGTTTCTAAATTGTAGCTGTCAAAAGACCCAGTTATTCCACAAAGACTTCCTCCAGCATAGCCATAACTTTTCCCTAGATGAGAACCATTTGCTTTGGCATCGCTGGGAGCCTTGGCTGGGTTCTCAGCATTAAATAGCTTTCCAGAGGGCGTGCAGTGCTGGATGGTTCACGTATACCCTCCTATCTGCAGATTTGCTTTCGTCCCATGAGCTGCACATTCCCAGAGAAGTCAGGTGGGTGCTGCAGTTCCCAGTGTGCTCTTTAGCATTATTTTTTAACTACTGCCTTTCCAGGGAAAGCATTTTTTTCCTTGTTGTGACATCAGGCAGACACCATGAGCAGATGCTTTATGCTTTCATGCTGCCATGTGCAGTCTCTTAGGCTGCTGGCTGCTCCTTGGGTGTGCATGTACACGACACAGGTGGCACACTGCTCCTCTAACACCTCTAGCAAAGACTCCCCATGCTCCTCTCAGCACAGAGTCCAGTATCTCCAGGGCTTTGACATGGCTGCACGCTGCTTCTTTCAGCCTCGTTCATCAACACATTTTTTGGGTTTAACAGTCAAGAATTTCTACTAATGGGGTTTCCTTTTATGCCACAAAGCAACCACCCTCCTGCCTGGATTGAAAGGGAAAATACTGACTTCAGAGCAGTGAGCACTGAGCAGCAATCTGCTCCTACAGCAGCCCGTGGCCACCAGCTGCGTACTCACAGGCCTCACACTGCTCGCTTCACCCTGGTCACGGCAGGCTTTGCTGCTAAGAGGATAACTTAATGGTAAACCTTTCCCCACAGCAGCAGCCCAGAAAGGCTGAGGGGAGTTCTGCACCACCCACATGCTGCTTCTGACCTCACAGAGGTCTTCTCTCAAGCATGAGAAGAGGACCCACGCTGGCCTCTGCAGCTGGCATGTCACAAGCAATAACTGAGACAGACCTCCAGGACCCATATCACATGCCATGTTTCCCTTATACCCTTGCATTTCAAACAAGCACAGTTAGAATTTACACCTCCTTTCAGGTCCCTTCACATTTCCATACAAGATGAGGCTTCCGTGTAAACCACAATAAGACTATGAAGCAGAAATATCACCTTTCTCTTTGTTAATCAAGGTACAGATACTGACAAGGCATCCTTAACATCTAAGAAAATAAATTTAAGCAATACCTACGTAATCTTTTTTCTCTGCAAACTGTCTGGAGTGCAGATAAGATCAAAATGTGGCTTTCCCAGCCAACAAAATTATTAACAGCATGTGGAAAAAAGTAATGTTACACAGCAGCTGGAACTCTCTGATGGCTTCGTGAAGCTGACAACAGAGCTAGTGCCTGCAGCAGGGAGCTGCCACCCTCAGCAGCTTCCAGGGAAATACTGAAATAATGAATGGGAAACAACAGGGTTATCTGGGAAAAATCTGTATTTTCAAGGCACTTTTGAGTTGCTATTTCTTATAAAGATCACTTCCTAAAACAAAAATCTGCATGAATATACTAACTACTGAAAAACATCTTCATGGCCTATGATCAGAAAGCACACCTTGATAATTCACTGTGGGAAGTGCAGAGAAAAGAGGTTAGGCATCATCTGTAAAGACAGTTCACGGGCAAGTAAATTCTGGATCTCCTTTAATGGAAGAAAGAGGGGGTAACAACTCACATTAAAAAACAAAACAAAAAAAAATCCTTGTTGCTCTCTACAGTGACCTGAAAGGAGGTTGTAGTGAGGTGGGGGTTGACCTCCTTCCCCATGTAACAGCAACATGATGAGAGGGAATGGCCTCATGTTGTACTAGGGGAGGTTCAGGTTGGATATGAGGAAAAATTTCTTCCCAGGAAGAGTGGTGATGCAGTGGCACAGGCTGCCCAGGGAGGCGGTGCAGTCACCGTCCCTGGAGGTATTCAGAAACCGTGTGGATGTGGCACTGAGGGATGTGGTCAGTGGGAACGGTGGGGGTGGGCTGACAGTTGGACTGAGTGATCTGAGAGGTCTTTTCTGATCTTAATGATTCAGTGATTCTATAAAAGTTCAACTCTCCTTTGTTCCAGTTAATGTTCCAGTTGGCCAAAGGATTCAAAAGCTGCGGAGAAAAGAACAAAAACAAAACAAACAACCAAAAAAAAAAACCAAACCAAAAACCACCCCACCAACAAAAAAAGCCATACCCAGAGACAGAGAGATAGGGCACAAAACAAGAATTAAGTCCAGGAGTAAGTACCAAATATTACCTGTATTTGCTAGGCAAACGATGTCCTAACAGCCTGATGGCATTCATACATGCCACTGAATTTGTAAAAGCCTTGCATACTGTCCCAGTAAGTTAAAATAAAATACAGCCATTTAGTTCATTATAACTAGCAGAGCAAGAGCCTCCTTCTCAACACAGCATACTCTGCCCACTCTACCTGCACTGGAACTAATTCCTTCAGTCTCGGGAGCCCAGAGAACTCAACTCAAACAGTCATTGGAAAAAAAAAAAATGCAGCATTTCCCACCTGGCTATTTTTAAACAACTGATACATAAAATAATTTACCCAAGAAAATAAAACCAGATGCATTTGTATCAGTAACTTATGCTTTCAGTGGAAAACAATTCTACTTTCATCTTTATTAGAATTAAATTTTTAAGGCCTGAATTCACTATACATCATTCACACTGTTACATTTTAGATCGGCAGAGAGGTAATCGATCAGCTCATTAGCTCCAAAATGTGTTTAACAATACATTTTGCTTAGCTCCCACATTAAGAAAAACAGAGAAACCTGGAGCTGTTAACATCTTTTTATCGTTTGTTAAGAACTAACAAGTTAGGGCACTGTAACCATTTCTTTTTCTCAAAATAATAATAATAATCCCACCTTTGGAGATTTGCCACCTGGGACTATTCTCTTCTCATGATGCTCAGTGAATGATCCTCTCTCATTTCAGTGAGACTGGTGGGATCTTTCTGAAACCACATCCAGCTACAACTGGGCTTCCTTTCTGCAGATGGCAGCCCATGTTGGCTTGGCACAGCCTTCCTTTTTCACAAGTCCAAGATGCTTCCTTGCGCTGATAGAGAAGCTATGGAAAACATGCTGGGGCTGCATTGAAAAGCAGATTCCATAGCACTGACAGCCAGCAGCATTTCCAGCCAGCAACATTACTCTGATCTTAAAAGTAATCCTTTAGGATCAGGATTTTAGAGCACAGGTTGCATGTTCACTTTGGACAGATCGATGGCTGCAGTCTGGGTTTGTGGTCTCTCTCCCACAAACTGCAGGATGAGGCAGCAGCACGCTGATGTTTATTGCTGGTGAGCTCAAACATGAGACAACTCCTTATCGGGCAGAATGCAAGCACAGACAATTATTATGGCTGCATTCATTCAGTTCTGGTTTTCTGTTTTTTTTTTTTTTTACACACAAAACGTGTATAGAAATGTAAGTGAAATTCACACTCCTGGCAAGCTGCCACCTCACCTGTTGGTAACAAAAACGTTGGCCTTTTAAAACTCAGGGCACCATAGCAGTGAATGAAAACAGAAGGATCCAAATACTGCCTACTTCAGCAGTAAGGGAATAGATTTTCAGAGGGAAACAAACGTTCTGTTCTGCAAGGTACTGAACACTGAGCAAAGATATAAGAAAAAGGAAGACCATTAATCCAAGTAACTTTAGAAGCTCTTCCATAGGTCAACCTGCTTTTGTGGCTTCTTTATTAATCTTGACTGTTAGAAGACAAAACAAAACGTGTGGCATCTGATTTCTGTATGTGCTCCCACAAATACAACTAATTCTTTATTTTAAATTAATTTTCCTTAAAGTTCCCCTAATGGTTTTATATTTCTTCTATGCTCCATTTGATTCTGGTGTTCTCAGATAACTTACATAGCCAGGAGTTAAATAATACCTTGAAAATCAAAGGTAGAATGATGACGCTCAATAGACCAGTAGTAAGTACAGTAAACACTTGACAAAAGTACAAAGATAACTGGGCTTTAGAACCAGCCCCTTTTTGAACAGTTCTAAAGCTTCTGTCTAATTAGGTTCATTTTGTGACAAACAAAAATGGGATTAGATCAGCATTTCTATTATTATAGCAGCCACATGACAGAAACTAGATGATTTTACTTGTAAAGCATTCAATCAGTCTTCAGTCCGGTACTGGCCTCTAATTTTCAAAGCTCATGGGAGACTGCATGCCCTTCTCATGAGCATGAATCACCGAGCTCACAAACATGTCAGCATTAACCTGCAGTGAAATTGCCATCTTTATAAATACTTCACAACATTTTTAAATTGCATTCTGCCTGGGAGAAGGAGGAGGAAGACTATCACCCATTTGTTTTTCCTTTTTTTTTTTTTTTTTTCCCCTGCAAGAAAGAGAGAGAAGTGGAATCCTGTGTTTTAGATAACTGACTTCATTCCTAACAGATTGCAGTGTCACTTATCGAAAATACGGTCAGTAAGCAACAACTATAAGCCCCTAACTCTTCATATGACACGTTTCATGGAAGAACGGAGCAACATCAAAAAGCCAGAAAACAAAAGGTCATTCTCATCTCTGTCAGTGTTGCAGCTGGTATTCACGCAGGTTTCAATTAAGACACTTCTCCACAGCTTATCCCAAGTGTCACTTAAGCAAGAAATCTGGCTCCCGATACCCAAAGAGTTTAAAATCGCCTTCAAACCGAGCATAGAGGCGTCTTATGTCTCTCTTGCTGATTCCTGAAAAATACCTCTCTACTTTTGTTTTGTTGTACACTGTTATGCCTGGTGGAATCGTGGGGTATGATACCAGATGGTCTATGCCGGCTGCTTTCAAAATGTAGGGAGCATCGTCCTCCAGGGTTTCATGGTGTCCAATCACACTGTACGTGATTTCACAGGGGGCACAAAGTTCCACATAGGTTACCCAGTGAATAATGTGATCACCAAACTGGACATCCAGCCATCGGTGATTGGGGTCACCCAGATAGCGCACAAAATCCTCAAACTGCAGCCCTTTGGTCTCCATGCGATTCCTTCTGTACTTACGAATGATGCTGGGAGCAATTTCGTGTCGGTACCAAGGCTCAAAGCGAGGATTGTGCACAAATTTGTCTTTAAATGCAGAAATAAGTCTTTCAAATGGATCTCTAACAATAAAAAACTTGAAGTATAAATTCAGTCTAAACAGAAGAAGGAAAAAAAAAGATCAAATAATTATGAAAATATAAGCAGCAGCTAGCAAAGTCTTACAAACTGTATGGAAACTCTGACCACAGAAAAAGCAATATAAATCTTATGCTACTTGCATAATCTATCAATACTATCATCAGTAGGACTTGAAATACAATGTCTGTATTTTTCATTGTAAGTTTTTGTATACAGTAAAAATGTAAGTAGAGCTTCCTCATACTTCACATTTTATTACAGCTGGAGAAGCTTAGTTTATCGTAATCCAAATAAACTGGAGACCAAGTCCTCTATGATGCTGAAAGCTCTGAATTCAAGATATTCTTAATGTTATGAGGGTAAGCTCAAAATAAAAGTAAAGTACACAATTACACAGAGAAAGTAGCTCAGTGCAACAGCTATTAAAAAGTAGCTAACTGCAACAGAGGGTTACAATTTTCAATGTCAGGTAGTTAGACAAATCATTGCTTCAGCATGAAGTGTTTCAGCTGAATGTCTGCTCTCCTGTCTGCTCACCCCACTTCTGACTCCAAGCCCCTGCCACGTCCCCAGGAAGCCATCCATCTCTTACCGCTTTTTAATTTCAGAGTCACTGAAGGAGGACAGACGTGGAAGGCCATTTTTCTCATGATCATGTACAATGCTTTCGGGGATCTCGTCTATGGAAGAATATGCTCCTACAAAAATTGAAAAGAGAACAAGAGAATTTTTCAAAAGGGGAAAAAAAAAACAAAAAAGCAAAACCAAACATACTTTTGGCTAACAGCTTTTTGGTTTATCTTCCTGTTTTCCCTGTTTTCAGTGTTTATGGTTACAATGTTTGATGCTGTCAAACGACAAAAGATTCTGACTCTAAAGCTGAAATCTGTCAAAATTCTCATAGAATGGCCCAGGTTGAAAAGGACCACAATGATCACCTAGTTTTAATCCCTTGCTATGTGCAGGATCACTAACCACCAGACCAGGCTGCCCTGAGCCACATCCAGCCTGGCCTTGAATGCCTCCAGGGATGGGGCATCCACAGCCTCCTTGGGCAACCTGTTCCAGTGTGTCACCACCCTCTGTGTGAAAAACTTCCTCCTAATATCTAACCTAAACCTTCCCTGTCTCACTTTAAGACCATTCCCCCTTGTCCTATCATTATCCACCCTCATAAACAGTCTTTCCCCTTCCTGTTAATATGCTCCCTTCAAGTACTGGAAGGCCACAATGAGGTCTCCCTGGAGTCTTCTATTGTCCAAGCTAAACAAGCTCAGTTATCAAGGCTATTTGACACCAAAATTCAAGGCCATGGGGCTTAAAAGCCCTCAGAAATACACATTAGAAGAATTTCATCAGCAATTATGCTTTAGCCTATAACTTCCCACTTCAGTGTCCCCACTGTCTTTCCCTCTGCCCACACGTACAAATGGGGGAAGACTTTGAGAATTAACTCCAGAGAAGGAATCTGCATTTTTTCTGAGTTTCCACCACCAGCAAAAAATAAATGCTGTGGGCTGCTTTTGGAACTGTGTCAATGCAAAAGCATTTTGCTGTCAGGATCCATAAAATTCCTTTAATGACTACACTATGCTCAAACAAAAATTCCAATCATACAATATCGCATGGATTGAAAAGCACTAAAATTAACAACAAAAAAGCTTCAGATACTCTTTTTCTTTTTCTTTTTCTTTTTTTTTTCCCCAAGGATGTAAACTGACAAGAAAAATTGTCACTAAGTTCTCATGCATTCTTTTTAAGAATCCAATCCTGGAAGTTATGACCTTGAAAAACATCTCACGTGCCCCTTGGGCCTCAGGAGTAAGCCTTCACACAAAGCACCATTTCAGAAAACCAACACACACTGAGAACAGGCTGATGCAAAGCAAGCTGTTCAGGTGAAAGCCTCTGTGGCATTCTGTTCCAATATTCCTACCACAGAAGTAATGTAGATAATTAACGTTCCAATAAAAATCTTAGGAGCAGTCAGAATTGTGGCGAATAATGCACACAACTCAGATTCTCAGTTTTATCATTTTGAGTGTGTGGGGAAATACTTTATTAATATTTAGTTTTCTAATTACACTTTTTGGTACTCTAGGGGAATTCCACATGCACAGTAGATGTCAAATTAGATAACCTCAGAAACTGAATGCTTTTATTGCACCTCAGCTCCGGATGAATACAAACAGTATCAGAATTAGTTTCCCAACAGTGCCACAGATGCGTTTCTCCATCCTGAACTTCCACATGCCACTTTTAGAAGCAGAATATTCCCCGCTAAGTATCAGTTCCATTTTTCAAAACTACCCAAAGAGACAAAAGTTAGAACAGTGAAAGAGATGGTCTTCATCAGCACATACTTGCATACTGGCAGCACAGGGTAGAAGAGACCAATATTTTACAGACACAATTCTCTATCGTTATCCAGCATGCCAGAACTTGAAATCTCAAAGAGAAAGGTTCTCTGCTAGTAAGACATCAGTTATCCTCCACTGAACACAGACAAAAAAACCTGCCAGTCCTGAGCGATTCTTTGCATGTTATCTGTTAAAAGCAAGCAAAGGAAGGTAGTTCTAATGCACTCATGTAGTTTCATACTTGGTTTACATAGGCATTTAAGAAACAAGTGTGTACCTCTGCGTGCGTGTATCTTTTCTGGATTTTAAGCTCTGATCCATAGATGAAGACTGAAACTAATATACAAGTCTTTGGAGACGTACTCCTTAGTACAAAAGTTTTGCTGAGGGACAGATCCTTTGTCAACTTGTAACTGTTTCCTTATTGGAATGTGAACTACCTCATGCAAGGTCGAGAAAACATAAACAGAAGTGTAGAGCTGGCTGTTCTCAGGGTTCTCATAACAAGAAAGATAGGTTTATAGTATCCAGGTATCACCCATACCTTGATGAGCCATGTTGCCTGTAAAACCACCAAAGGGCTCCAATTGACCTGACTATACATAGGAAAGACACAGCCCTGGTACAAGAAAATGTCTTAAGTTAAATAAAGGTGTGTTATATTTAATATGATCAAGCTAAGCACGTGTGCACCCAGTGGTGCAGTGGGAAACCCTGAGGAAATTACTTGTATTGGCATACCATGCTACTGAAAGAGTGTGCTAGGTACAAGTAGACAGAGCTTGCCTCATAGATTGTTACTCAAACACCAAACCTTCTACTCCTTCTTTTAGTCTTTTACAACACACCTTTGTTGATGAAACTCTACCTTTAAGTGCCTGAGAATCTTCTTAACTTATATGATGGCTCGGTGGTTACACATTCACATGATTTCACCACCACAGATCTACAGCAGCTGCTAAATTTTAATAAGCTTTCCTCATGCCTTAAAGAGTGAAGTTACAAGTTAGTGGGTTCAAGATTTTGTACAATCACTTCTAAGGGAATTGTGGTACCTTGTAATTTACTTGTTTCAAACCCTTTAAATCAGTGCCACCCCTTCAAAGATAACAAACCTACCTACCACATGCATACGTGTACTATCATGACTCAAAGAATTTTCGAGTCAAACAATAACAGTACTTATTTTCAGAGAAAGAACAGGTTTATTTTCTTTAAAAATAGATCTTCTGAAAGGATTAGAAGCAACTGTGACGAATGAGTAGCTGAAATTAAGTATCAGTGTACTGAAAGGCAGAAAGAATCCATTTTAGTCTTGTCCCAGTTGGACGAATTCTGTTCTTTCCTCCCCCTCAAAGAAACCCGCACACCCACAACTGAGTAGATACCATTTAAAACGATCAAGACTTTTTTCCACTGAGTGTTGCCCACTTTTGGTGTCTGACAAAACAGGATCTTGTGCTTGTCACACACAAATATTCGGTCCAAGACGAATTTGGAAACTGCAGTGTGAGAGAGATTTCTCAATGCAGTGTCTCTGCAGACATTCCGGAGAAGCTCAAGTCTTTCCATATGAACCAAGGGATGGTGTAGCAGATTTCCAGTAAAAGCTTTTCCAGTTGGCTTTATAAAATAGAGGGGAGAAAGAAAAAAATAAAGTGCAAATGTTTAGTTTTCAGATCAAATTTTAAACTGTAAAAGTCCCCAAACTGTGCATGATAATGATCCCTATGCTCATGGTAACACTGCTAAATATTAACTGAAGAAGTAACAGTTTCCTTCCTGCACTGCTGCTGTATGTGTTGGTACATGGCATTCCTCTTATCCAAAAATCGATGACCTGTTTAACTTTTGTGAGGCTAAGGAGAGAGCCATGACTACAACCACATCCCTCCGCCTCATGGTTAATGGGGAGAGAGAAAGAATAAGATTGTCTGATACACAGATGATGAGAAATTTTAATTTTCTGTTGAAAAATCTTCCTCCTTCCACTAAATGTGATTTACACACCTGGATCTGGGAAGGAAAGAGATAACACTGTCCACAGAAAAACAGATTTTACACTGCCAATGCTTTGTCAATAGCAAAAAAAAATTCACTTACAGTTTTGGCACAGCACAGTACATTATGGTGTCAAACTTTTCTTTAGCTTCATAACTTCCTTATTTTAACGCTGTTCCCTTTTGCAGCAAGCACAATGTTAGAAAGACATACTGCAAAGTGAAGTACATTGTTCTTATTTTCATAGATAACTTTCAGGCTTTCATTCTGGAGGGACTTCATTATTACTCAGGTAAATATAAGAAGTTGAATTTGACCAGGTCCAATGCCTCCAAGCTTTGTCATCTGTATCTTTATTCAGATGGTACTTTAGATAGTGCCCAAGCAACATATGAGAAAGGGATGGTTTTACATCTTGTCCCAATTATTCATTCCCTGCTCAAGATGCAATTTGGATGGCCTGACATGGCTTATCAAAACAATTCCTTTTGCATGCGACCAGGATTAATATTATTGTTCTGTGGTTCATGCTGTCACAAAGTCAAGAGGGAATAGCTTCGGATCAAGAAACCTTACTATCCTCTTCCATACAAGTAAAGGAAGATATTAAGACTTGCTACATGGAACTGCCAGACTTTCACTGAACAAAACCTTTCTCCCAAGTACAGTGAAAAATCACTTAAATTTCCTTTTTTTATTATTATTTTCTTTTTTAACCTAAGGAAAACAAAGTGCCATGCTATAAAGATATCCACATTCCACACTCCTTTAACGAAATACTCTAAATATTAGGTGACTGGTTTATCCAGTGGCAAAAAATTGGCCCTAGCTCTCCATGCAAACAGTCTGTAGTCCACATTTGCATGTGGAATTTTCAGTTTCCTTGAGAATTAGCAGGGAATTTGGTGAGAACCGCATCTGTTCTGCTTTATTTCTGAAAGTACAGAATTGTGCACTTGGATCAACTTGTATTGAATACTATTGTGTTTGTGTTTCACTTTGGACAAATTCTGCAATGTAAAGCACAAAGAGTACAGAAGATGAAGAAAAAATGGAATCTGATAAAAAGAATCAGAAAGACCAGGCAAAGAACCAAGAGGAATGAAAATAGACAAGACTCAGGCTTGACCTCAAGAACCATGAACCTGATGATTATAACAAGACATCTGAGACACTATAACAAGTAACCCAAGATGGGGCCAGTACATAAGAAAAGCTAGCAAAAACTGATTGACCTGACTTGATAAAAGTGGTACTGCAACTATATTCTCCTAGAAGTGCAAATGCATTAATTTGGACAGATAGAAGGTTACTGTAACAAAGTAGCTTTGGGAAGCTGAAAGGAATTCTGTTGGCTCTATGAAAATGAAAGTCTGAATAATGATTCCTATCTAGCAGTTCCTTTAACCACAGGAAACCCTTATATAATCTCTCTTTTCTCCCACTCTTTAATGCATATAAACTCTTATCTCAATGGTACGCACCTGGAATTCTTTAGTCCAATGTTTTTCCTCTGGCACACGTGCCTCCTCCACTTTTGTCACAGCTGTCAGTATTAATGGCTCTTGTTTGGCACCATAGCCTAAAGAAGGAAAAAAAGAGCATTATGGAGGATGGGGGGAAAGCAACAATTTCTGCTTTACAGCTAACACAATGGAAAAACATTTTCTGCAATAAGCAGGCAAAACATTAGGATTTGTTTCCAGATGGGAAAGTACTAGAGAAGACATGAGAGGCTATGAATATTTTAAAGAACATACTCTATGGGAATTTTGGATGCAATCTTAATTTAGTTTTCTCAAAGAAACAACCATTATCTTTCTTGAGGGGGCTTTTAAAAACAAACTGCGTGCAAAGAAACACAGAAATTGAAAATCCAAATATCAGGAAAAATAATAATGTTTGCACAGGTTTTAAGATCTAATGATAAACGATATTTGAATTTTCTTGAGTAGAAGAACAACTGGATGCATACAACAGTACAATAGTTTAATTTTTCAATAAATTTCCTGAAAACTGTAATTTAGCAGGCTTTTCCTTTCCCACATCCATATTAGTAGGTAAGTTTCACCTACTGTAAACTCTTAGACATTAGCAAAAAAAATAAAAAGAAAGCATTGTTAAGGATCACCTTTATTTTCTTGGTGCTCTAAGCAACAGATCTAATCAGCATTAAAGGATACAAGATCCCTTTATTATTTATTACTGGAACGATGGCTTTTCCTTAGAGACTTCCACACGGAGACAAACAAATTCGGTGAATACATTCATTCCTTTTAATTATTTTAGAGCAGCTAATAATCCCAAACAAGATTAAAGTAAATAAGGGAAAAAAATAAGGGAAAAACCTCCTGCATATTTTTGCAATTTGCATGCTACAGGGAAACTGAAAAATAAAACAAGTCTGTAGCTTCATATGGTGCAGAAAGAAAAAAAAAAAGTTTCCCCTAACCACAGTGGGAAAAGAACAGGATCTCTCCCTCAAAATTTCTTTCTATCCATACTGAACTATTTTCCCCTTCATATAGTTCATTCTTTTATGAATAGTCTTTCTTCATCCGCAACCACAATTGTTTATGGTTTTATGTTCAAGACGACATCAACTGTTTATGCCCTCCTTTTAAGGTAGTACTCCACTGTGCCTATGCTGGATTTAAACAAAAGGAACAGATGGAAAAGCAAGTTAAAACTGAAAGGAATGCAACATCCCTAAGTGCCACATCTACGTGTCTCCTGAATGGCTCCAGGAACAGTGGCTGCACCACCTCCCTGGGCAGCCTATGCCAACACATTACCACTCTTTCTGAGAAGAAAGTTTTCCCAATACCTAACCTGAACATCCCCGGCACATACGTTGTTTTGGTTTTTTTTATTATTATTATTTTAATTTAATAAGAGTTCCACCAGAATTAGCCATCATGCTTACTTGGGCTTTCTCCTGGTATATTCACATTACTTCCCTTCATCATACAAATACTGCAAACTCCAACACATACATATTCGTGGCTTTGTAAGACTGAAGCTTAAAAAATTATGGAGCTCCTGCTCAGAGAGCTATCCAAATAGGAAAGAGAGGAAAAAAAGACAAAAAATGGTAAGGCAAGATAATGAAAAGCAAATAAATGCAGAGGGTGTGCTCTGGTTATTTATTATTTTAAGTACATTTTAGTTCCTCTGACAACTTCTGGTGGAAATAACCACTCACATAATACTTAAGCTCAGAAACAAGAGTTGGCATAGTTAAATGTTCCAGTATTTCATGCTACCTTACATAAGGCTGGCTCATTTGCAGATATACCAAGGCTCAAAAAAAGCTAAAACTGAGGAAATCTATAAAGTTAGTCTATAGCTTTCACCTGTAAGACTTAAAAGGTACACCTAGCATATTTATCTGCTATCAAGTCAATGATACAAATAGCACTAGTGATCTTAGTGCTTCAGAAGTTACACATTTTTTGCATATTTTAGACAGATGCAGAAGTACAGGTGTCTTAGAACTGTAAGTTGTGTCATAACCTCTCTGTAGGACAATTATTTTTTTTCCTAACACCAGCTCTTCAGTAGACTTTCTTTAGAAAACTCTAACATGCTGCATGGTGTCATCAAATGGCTTAAATTCCCCATCAGTCTAACACCATCTGGGCTACTTATGCTAAGCAAAAGCCTATAAGCTGTTTGTCAGTCAAACAGCAGAGGATAAAGCTGAATGCAAGAAGCAGGGCAGAGGTGGCTAGGCTAAGTGTGCTGTGAAAGAAAACAAGCTTTGCAGGAAATCAAGCTATACACAATGCTGCCACAGTTACGAGGGGACAGAAACTAGTATTGCGGGAGCTTTATTTTGGTCATTTTTAAGCAGGTAGCTTTGTACACACTATTTTGTACACAAATTCTCCTCTTAGGAGATGAAGATATTCACACTGAGTACATCTGAAAAAGCGGACCTCACAAGACATAATTGCAAAACATGTTTTCCTCTGTTCCTGATCACTAAGGAAAAAGAAAAAAGGATCCGACACAAAGTTTGCAGCCTACTACCAAGACAAGCAGGAATTGAATATCAGCACTGACATTTCTACAGACTTATTTGTTCTGTTCTCAGACCTACTGAAAAAGAACGGTAACGTGCTGAGAAGCATTTTGCACAGGTAGTGCATTTATGTGAATGACTATACCATCTCCTCTTTCCCAGAAATATTAAACTTGAACTTACCATCTGGATCTTTAAAAGTCAACGTGATAAACTTGCTGGCAACCATGAACATGAATATCACCCAAAAGCATGCAGCTAGAAGCAGCCACTGGTGGTGCATGTTGTCAGACATGAGCCATATAAAGTTGTTGCTTCCTGTTTGAAAGGGGAGAGATAGGCACATGAATACTTTTTGTTTCAGTTTAGAAAAATGCTCTCCATAATCAAACTCTGGTTACGTATATCATAGAATCACCACGGTTGGAAATGACCTCCAAGTCCAGTCCAACTGTCCACCTACCTCCAATATTTCCCACTGAACCATGTTCCTCAGTACAAAATCTAAATGTTTCCTTAACACTTCCAGGGACAGCGACTCTACCACTTTCCTGGGCAGCCCATCCCAGCACCTTATCACTCTTTCAGAGAAGAAATTTCTCCTAACGTCCAGCCTGAACCTCTCCTGGTGCAACTTGAGGCCATTCCCTCTCACCCTATCACTAGTTACACAGGAGAAGAGGCCAACCCCCACCTCGCCACAACCTCCCTTTAGGCAGTTGTAGAAAGAGATAAGGCCTCCCCTTCTCTTCTCCAGACTGAACAATCCCAGTTCCCACAGTTCCTCCCCATAAAACTTGTGCTCCAGACCCCTCACAGCAATGATGCCCTTCTCTGAACACGCCCCAGGTAAGCATGTCCAGAAAAAACATCATATATACAACATAAGAAAAGCAGCAGACTTCTCTCCTTCTATTTGCTGGTAGTATTTTTTTTTTCCTTTTTTTTTTTTTTTTTTTTTTTTCTTTTTCCTGTTTTTTCAACTGAAATAACTGCTTAGCCAGTATAAGCACCAGCTGCTATCAGCGAGATATTTCTTTCCTCATTCACCCCACCTTGGTCTGACTCCTCACAGATTGCTTTGGGTCAGAAGGGGCCTCAAAAGCCCATTCAGTTCCAAACCCCTGCTGTGAATTGGGTTGCCACCCCCCAGATTAGGCTGTCCAGGGTCAAACCAGCAAACCTCCCATTTTTTTTGAGGGTAGTTCTTTTCCCCCATTTAACTTTATGAGGCAGCTGATCACAGCACAAGAAGGTGAGATGAGAAAACCTCCACTCCCAGGGTGGCCAGTCAGCAGATCAACGTTTACAGTATTCATAGCTGTCCTGTGTCAACTCAGGACACAACACACTCCTCTCCTGCCCAGCCTACAAGAACCACAAGCCAGACGCTACTGAGCCAACACACTAAGCTTAACCCAAAGCTGTATTTAAAGGCAGTAATGTTTCTTTTTATCACTCTTGTTGCCAGTAAAGTATCAACTGGAAAGTTTTGATTTCCATGATGCTAAGTATTACTCACACAGTCAGCAGGAGGGGTTTCCTCGCAGCAGTAAGTGAACTCTTCCTTTTGAGAACATCGATAATGCAACTTCAGAACACCTCACCAAATAGGATTTAAATCAAATACTTTATACAATGAGATTCTCATAACAGTCATAATCATAACAGATTTTACACATGCAAAAAAAACCAAAAACAAACAAAAAAAAGCACCTGCATGTTGCGTAATCACATTTCTGCACAGCCATTTGAATGAGCTGTCAGAGAGTAGGGGCCCTCATTCCCATTTAAGATGATAAAAGCATGCTAGTTTTTGCTTCTGAGTAAATTTTGTATTATTTTTTTTGGCTGCATACCACTATTTTGCCTTTTCATACGCACTGAAGCTTTTGACATTCTTCCAATGCATCCATCTGCCACACCCTTACTCCTGCTACAGGTGCTGACTGCTTTTCCAACTAGCTTCTGCCTTCCAGCAATGTAAATGCTTCTAAGAAGAGTTCTCACTGGAGCTGACAGAAGCGAAATGTCTCCAGGGTACACCAAACACATGTGCAGGCAAGGCAAGCAGCTGAAAACAGATGGAGGAATCTCACCATACCATTACAATAACGCCAAATTTTTCCAAACCATCAGTTCCCAAAAGTGCTTGTTTTGAAGTATGCTACAACGTCAGCTATCTTCTGTTCAAGACACCTGAACTCACCACATTTGCTTTTAGATATGCTGGCTCTTCAAAGACTTGAAAAATGGTCTGGGTCACATCCTCCCATCTAACCCATTACACCCGCTCTACATAAAGCCAGCAGAAACAGACCTCTGACAGTCAGAGTATCTCTGCTAGGCCAACCGTTTTCATAACGATGATGGGTACACATCATTCAGTAAGGAACGTGGATCCCTGCTTTCAGTAATTTATGTACTGTAGTTTCATGAAGTTGTGTTGAATGTCATGGGGAGAGCAGCTCCAGTGCACTCCAACTTGGAAAACAACAGCAGTCAGCACCCACAGGGCCTGCAGCCAAATCCTCTGCTCTACGGGTAGGCCAGAAATGGGACGGGATCATAGCCACATCTGTAACAATCACCATTATTACCCCTCAATACATTGAAGCTGAAAAGAAAACACTAAGCCATTTGTGCACAAAGCAGATCTACAACCATATTCCCTGATGGAATTGTGTTGTCAGAGGATTTATCAAAATGTAGTTACAATGGCTGGCACGATTACTCACTTCCAGCACCTAAACAAAACTGCATCTACCCTAAGAAACAGAACTACTCAAAATGATATACAGAAATAAATCGTTATTCTCACTTAAATGAGGCGACCATCAACAATTTTAAAAACAGGAGTTTATGTTATTCCCCTTTCTCTAGCTTTTTCTTTCCTAATAGAAATATTTTTTATCATTTTCACATACAGTAATCACACTTCCTGGCCTATCTCCGATCTTACTGGAATTTCTCTTCCTTCTCCTGCTACTTATTTTCTAATAAACGCATGTACATACATATTACCTCCTGAATCTCCCCTTTAAGTGTTTCCTTCAACTTCTAAATGCACATTTTACTTCTTGCATAAAATATTCTTTTCTTACAAGTAGAAAAACCAAGAATACTGCTGAAGGCTCAGTTCATCCTGTCATAACATAACACAAAGGGATTTTTTAAATTGCTCCTTTTCCCTCTTATTACAATTCTGTGTTCTTTAGGGGCACAAGAGCCAAAAAAAAGAAGAAAAAAAAGAAAAAGGAAAAAGAAAAAAGAAAACCCTCCAACCTTCTCTCCATGCATTCCTCTGTTCTTCCATTTCTGGCTATCTGCCCTGAATCCAAACTGGCACACAGCCCTCAGAGCAGTCAGGTGCCAGTTTTCCCAAAGCACGTACAGAAGCACAACGGGGAACGTATACACAATAATGAACCAAAGAACAGGACTCAGTAAGTGGAAGGCTTGATCTGTCTGTCAGAAACATCCTATCTGAAAAAAACACTAGGACTTCGGGGAAAATTCCTGTTCTTCATATGAATGACAGAACAGAGTGCAGAATGACAGCTCACAGCATCAAGGTCAGAAAAGACCTCATCTAGTCCAACCATCAACCCATCACCACCATGCCCACTATGCCATGTCCCTCAGTATCACATCTACTTCAAAATTTATCCTGAACAGGAAGTTTTGTCTTATTTTCTTCTCATGCTACTTTAGCCATTCCCTCCTGCTCTCCAGAAGGTGGTCTTCCATCTACTTCTAAAGACTTTTTCAATGACAATCATTGAAGCAAGCTGGGCCCTGGTAGCCATAGAGCTGGCAGACATGATCCACCAATGCTGAGAGCTGGCAGCCATCCCCAGAAACCAAAGACATGCCCTGGGAATGAATAGGGCTATGCAGAACATGATGGCAGGAGATTTGAAGATTTAAGCAGTATTAAAACTCAAAGCATAAGCCCCTGCTTGGCAGCTTATGGTGTCTGGGCAGGGGCTCCTTGGTGGGACAGTGCACAGTAAATGACAGCAGCACACTAGGGGCCTCCAACCATCAACCTGCTTGCCTATCAGCACGTGACTAATGACATAACTTGAAGTGCACAACAAACAAAGAACAAACAGCAGTGAGATGAGATATCCAATTCATTTTCATCAAAGCCTCCCTTCTCTTCAGATAAAGTTAACAGATCTAGACAATTTCTTATACTTAAAAAAAAAAAAAAAAAAAAAGCCAAAATCTTTCACAGTCTCACTTCTTAAAGTCCTTAAAATTGAGTGGTGCTGCTAAATGCCATAGAGCACGTTACAACAGGTATTTCTGAAAGCTGATTCTCTCTGAAGGCTTTTTCAGCACCTTGACAGCATTAACGGGCTTGTCTCCTGCTCTCACTGACAGTGCTCAGCCTTTGCCAAGCACGTGTAGCTCACCTGTCAGCAGGAAGGCAGAGAACTGATGCAGCATCCCAGCAACAGCCGCATCACCATCCTGGGCCACAGGCAGGCTTGGTGTGAAGGGGCTCGGCAGACGGCAGCCACGCTGGGAAGCACTGCAAGGCATTGAGCTCAGTACTGAGAGCCAGCCTCCCAGGCAGACGCTGGGGCCACACAAGGCCCTGAACGCTCTTTGCAGCGTGGCAGCAGCTGTTATTCCAGCATCAGGGCTTCCCCAGCCGGCTAGATGCTGAGGTGCTCGTTGCCTCAGGGGAGGGATAAGAGCAGGGTGAGCCTGCACCACGAACACGGGATAGTACTGCAGTGTGACAGATACGGGCTGCGTCAAGCAAAGTCTACCCACAGCCCAAAAGCCAGACTCCGGGTGCAGGCAGGAGATGGAGCTTGTCTAACCAGAAGCACGCTTTCCTGGTTAAGGAGGATAAAATCTTCCCCGCCAGCGCCATAAGCAAAGCTTCTCTCTCCGTGCAGGGCGCCCGCCAGCTCTGCCCCGCCGCTGACAGCCCGGCCTGCCGCCACCGCACCCGGGGCCGGGCCTCGGCCGCCCGCTCCGCGACCACTCGCGAAAAGTGACCTCCTGCGGGGGGACACCGCCTCGTCCCCGCGGCGGCTCCAGGCACGGCGACCCGCCCTCCACCGCGGCTCCCGGCCTGCTCCGGCCGCCCGGCTGCGGGCTGCAGGGCCTCCAGCCGAGCAGCGGCCCCCTCCCCCCCGCCTTCCCCGCGCTCGGAACGCGCGAGGCGGAAGCGCCGCCGACTTACCGGCCCTACGGCGCCGCTTCTCGCAGTCCCCGTCCCCGCGGCGGGGCGCCGCTCCGGCCCGGGCCCGCCTTACGCGGCGGCCCGACGAGGCGGCCCCGGCTGCCGCATCCCCCCGCCCGGTTGCGGGCGGCGGCGACGCCTCCCCGCTCAGCCCCGATTGCCGCCGCCGCCGCCGCCCAGCCCCGCTGCCTCCGCCGCCGCCTCCATTTCCTCCCGCCGCGGGCAGGCCCCGGCCTCAGCCGCGCCCCCAGCCCCGTCGCGGGGAAGGAGAAGGTGGAGGCAGCCGTGGGGAGGCACGCTCCGCTCCGAGCAGACGCAGCGTCCCTCCCGGCCGCCGGCTCGTCTCGCCACGCCCCGCCACGCCCTGCCCCGCCTCACCTCGCTCCGGCGGGAGCGGGATGCTCTACCCCGCAGGTCCCGGCCTCGGAGAGTCCCCTTCCCGCAGGTACGGGGCCCGCCGCAGCCCTCGGCCCCTTCTCGGTGGGAAGCTAAAGCCAGTGCTCGGATCGGCTGACGGATAGGCGTGTATTGACTGATCAATTCCTCTGAAAATGTCATGGATAGTTCCCTAATGCTGCTCTGAGATAGTGTTTCGCAAGCCCTGCAAAAGTGAAGCTCCTGCTTGGAAGCCCCTGTAGGAGAGAGTGACGGTGGGGCAAAGCCCTCCCATTTGAAGTCCTACTGAATGCTGAAGACATATCTTGAAGCATGAAACTGCGTGATAGAACACGTAGGAGAGGCTTTATTGCCCGGCTTTATTGCCCAAAAGGTGTGTTCCTATTGCTTGACCCAGCTGTGTCTTCTGTGTCTGGTCATGAGAATCACAGAATCATTAAGGCTGGAAAAAAAAATCTCGAAGATCATCTAGTAGAACCATCACCCCCATGCCCACTGATGACTTCCCTCAGTGCCACATCCACACATTCCTGCAGCACCTCCAGGGATGGTGACTGCACCACCTCCCTGGGCAGCCTGTGCCACTGCCTCACATCTCTTTCTCAGAAGGAATTTTTCCTAATATCCAGCCTGAACGTCCCCTGGTGCAACTTGTGGACATTGCATCTTGTCCTATCACTGTTACATTGGAGAAGAGGCCCAATTGTGAATGTCCATACTGCTCAGGACTGGCTCCCTCTGCAGTAGACATTCATAGTTCATGCAACATACCATTTCACCCTGCATTTCTTATGAAATCTTGTGGGGTAAATATATGAAAATTGCTTTTTTTTTTTTTTTTTTTTTTTTAATTGTGTGAATAAGTAAATACCTAAATAACACCTGTTTGCTTGAAACTGATTTATAGTGGAAATTTTTTTTCTTACCTTGAATCCTACGAAGTCTGTGAGGAGACAGGGGAGCTTGCCAACTGCTCAAGATCAGGGCCAAGAGCTTGAGGATGGACAAATTCAGTAGAGCCAGAATTGTAGTAGATGTTTCTATCTGTGTTCAGCTATCAATTAGTGAAAGAAACAAAAAAAATTCAATGACAGAAGAGTTGAAAATGTTTTCACAAATTAATAAAAATTAATACAACAAATACAATACTATACTGGAGCCTGGCCAAGAAAGCCCAGGGAAATCTAGGGATGATCTTCAAATGAATGCTGTGGAAGCCTCTAGAGCAGCTCAGGCCAATGCAAATGCATTACCAGCAGTGCCTTAGGATGAAGTCTTAGAATGGGTTGGGTTGGAAGGAATCTCAAAGATGATTTAGTTCTAGCTCCAAAGCCACAGGCAGGGTTGCCAGCCACTCGATCATGCTGCCCAGAGCCCCAGCCAACCTGGCCTTGAAGAATTCCTGGGATGGAGCATCTACAACTTCTCAATGGTGATGGTGTGGTGTCCTTGTCCCTCCCTTCTGCCTGTGAAATAGAAACTGTGATAGTTACCTTGCTCATAAGGCACATTGGAACTCTGAGTTCATTCACCAGTTTGAGATTTGTGTACGCTGACCACTTTGGAAGTTGCTTCTTTCTTCAGTCTTGAGGGTGACGACTACAGTGCAGCCATGCACAGATTATTAATAAGCAGTCTCCAGCTGTGGAACCAATTTCTGACAGATTATCAGACTCAACCCAAGCATTTTAACCTTTCAAGTATGTTGTTACTGACATGTATAATAATTAATCCTGTATAAATTGAACATGTTTTTTTCCAAACTTAAGCACGGTTAATAAGCTTTGTTTTCAGTAATTGGCCTCAAAAATGTCTGATGGAGTTAAATAACGTGTTACATAGGAAACTGTAAAGTTGGATTATGAAATTGCTAGCTAGGGCTGCCATGGTTCTTGCTACTAGGAATGTTAAAATGTAGTGGGGTTCAGAGTTGTAAATTGGCAGCAAAATCAATGGTTACATTTGTTGGTTTATAGAATCAGAGAATCAGAATTGTTTGAGTTGGAAGGGACCTTTAAAGGTTATCTAGTCCAATTCCCTCACAATGAACAGGGACACCTACAGCTGGATCAGATTGCTCAGAGCTCTGTCCAGCCTGACTTCAGATGTCTCCAGGGATGGGGCATCCACCACCTCTCTGAGCAACCTGTGCCAGTGCCTCACCACCCTCACTGCAAGAAATTTCTTCCTTACATCCAATCCAAATCTCGCTTCTTTTAGTTTGAAACTATTTCCCCCTTGTCCCATCACATCAGACCCTGCTGAAGAGTCTGGCCCTTCTTTCTTATAGCCCTCTTTTAGATACTGCAGACACTGCTGAACCTGAATTCATCCACATTTTCCTTGACTTTCCAAGCTCAAGCTGTTCAGCAAAAGCATAGGCTTGTGCATACTGTTAAACTCGTGATACGTTTATTGTTTGTTGTTGTTTGTTGTTATTTCAGGTTTTAACCCAATGCCAATTACTTGGATTAGTCTCGGTAGCTCTTTCAGTTATGCTTTACCTCCATAAAAGCTCACCCTAAGACAGGACACTAGTCCAACATCAAATACTGAGGAATCACAAATCTGATTGAAATCAGCGGGAACAGATGCTTTTCCTAGTGCAGTGTCATTACTGGCAAGGTTACTGTTCTGCCTTGTGGCTGTGTTTCCAAGGCATGGCTGATCACACTTTGTAACCGCTCTGACATGGTGTGCTGGTGTGTAATATATTTATTAGGGTTTGATCTCCATCACTACTTTCCCTCTCTTTCTGGAACTTTAGCAAGCTACTTGAAATGTGGATCTGACTGATGAAAGGTAGAAAAGATAGAACACCTTGTGGCCTCTGCAGCCACAAAAAAAATCAGACTGAAGAATACAGCAGCCCTAACAGGAGTCTCATACAGTTGCAGGGTTCACTGGTGTGATCTAAACAGTAATTTCTATGGAGTGCCACAGGTAAAATAGGCAGCAAAATGTTATATATTTATTGAACTTTTTTTTCTGTAGTAATAACTTAAGCAAGGAGAACTTTAGCAAGCTATAAGGTGTGTGTCTAAAACAGCTGATGTATAGGGAGGACTGTAGTAGCTATGGGAGTGGTGGGGGGAGCTTAGGGCAGATATCTATACCACAATGAGACCTGCTGTGCTAGGGGCAAGTTCAGATCCACAAGCAGCAAATAAGACCTTTCTCATTTGAAAACTAATTCCACTTTTTATTGCAGGGAAGAAAAGTTTATCTCTTGATAAGTGCCTTGAAAACTGTTAAATCTTTTTATACGTTATACCATTAGATTTCCTTTGGAGTACGAGACAAAAAATGTAGACTGAGGTAAATAAGTCATTAGCTGAACCACAGAGCTTACCTTGAAGTGTTAAAACTTTTAGTCTGAGATGTCTTTTGAAAGGGAAAACAACTCTGTGGGGTTTATTTACATCAGTGAACTGAGCATGCTGCCAAGACTGGGCTACAGTAGCTATGAACTACATTTAATTATCACACCAATGTCAATTAAAATTGAATCCAATCATTCAAAATTAATTATATAGGCCATCAAATGAGTGCAGCCGTAATGCCAATGTAGCAAGATAAGTTAATTCTTAAAAAACAAATTAAAAATAGAAGAATTGCCAGTTTGGGAGTACACAGAGATGCCTGAAGGAGGGCTGAAGGACAACTTCAGTAACAGAAATGTGAGCAGAGAGAGGGATGGGCACAGGGAGGCATGGGAGTGAGATGGGGTCCCGTTTGCTCCCAAATGCATGTTAGACAGGTGATTTATACTAAGTGGAACAGCTTTCACAGGGACACCGAGTGCTTCAAATAACACAACTTGCTGTTTGGGGTGGCTCTTGAGAGGTTGCAGATGTGATACCTAGCAGGAGGAGTTTTAACATTCGTTTCCCTTACCCCAGTGGCCCAGTACTTATCTAGGAACAGCATCACTCATGGGGAGACAAGAAACAATGTTCAGGAGTTCTAGGGGATGTAAGCCTAGAATGGTGATCCTAAAATGACAATCATTGCTCTGCAAACCAAACTTAAGAGAGCAAGAACTGGAACTTTACATCACAGATCTTCCCAGCACACTCTCCTGGTCAAGGCCACAGTCAGGTGCCTTGGTGCCAGCAGTGGAGTGGCATGGCCATTAGGGTAGCACATAGTGTTTAAATCTTGTGTTACCACAAGTGGTTTTCTTAGTGTTTGAGGGTACCATCTTTGAGCACAGATCCTACGAACACCACTCTGCTCTCAGTGCCTGTACCGTTCCTTTAT